ACTTCATACATTAATTTGCTGCAGACTGACGAACAAGTACCCGACGAGTCAACCCACGTCGACTACGGCGATCATCACTTTGCATTTCCGGAAACTCCTAACTCCTTAGATAGCAAAGTACCATACGAAACATTTGAAGTTGAGGAATTTACATCAGATCCTTTACTAGCACCGATTACTACCTCACCTTTTGCTACTTCTCTTACATCGATGAAGAATAATATGGCCGTTGCAAGGGACTTCGTTGTAAAAATAACGGATACAGGACCACTTCTAACGCTGTGCAACACCTTGCACTGTAATTTTAGTACTAGCCCCTGTAATCACTATGTTAGAGGCAGTGAATGGCGACTATCGCACGGGCCTGTTGGAAAATCATCTCGAGGTATTGGTGGGGATGCTTCTCAGTTACCGTATAACCCAGGTTTGTATTCAACCAGTTTTAGTGTAGAATTTAATTATCGCGCAAAAAATATGCCTAAGTCCGTTAAATGTAAGAGTTATCTCATTACAGTGCAATTAAACTATCTAGTTGAAACGTTTTTCAAGATGTCGCTTTGAAAATTAATTAATTTTCAAAATCCACTCAAATTTCAAGGATTTCGAAACTTTTTAAAACTTGTTGCACACCTGTTGCCAGAGACAACCGTTAAAGTCAAGAATTGTCATTTACAAATTCCTTGTGAACAAAATTACTGATTTTTGCTTAAATACCTGAGTAGCAACGAAAGAAGTATGTAAGCATTAAAACTGATAAATTTTGTTTAGAAGTGAAAACAAGAAATAATCAAAACTTTACAGATGGCGCTTTTGTTTATATAAAAGGACCAGTTGACAGAACTCGTCTAATCATACCACCTTTTGTTGCAAAAGCAAAGTTTTACTTTGCTTTTTGGTACCATAAATCTTCAAAGTACAATAAATTGCGAGTCCTGACTAAACGAAATGACGAGGAATTTGAACACACACTCTACATGGTATATTTTGCAAAGGCTTCTTAGCAAACAATATAATCATCGCCATTTCCTATATCAACGTTCACTACGTACTAAAAACAATGTAAATTTTACAGGCGCCTGAAAATAACAAAAATTCAAGGAAGTGGTTTAAAGAAATTCGAATCCTACCTGCAGGACCATATGATTATGTTAGCTCTCCTAGTCTAATTTATAAAACACGACTGAAAGATTGAAAGATGTTAACAGTGGCAAGTAGTTGACGGTGAATGGGCTACACTCATTTCACCAATCAATAAAAAACTAGATCACTTCTGGAAACTAATAAAAGCACTAAAGCAACCAGCGTTTACTCATTTGAGAAATATTTCAGATTGCTTTTGAAGCTGGAGATCTCGATAAAGATGACTATGTAGCAGTTGATCAGTTAACTGTTTTAGATGGAGCTCGTAACTCCATATGCACACCGACAACCTTAAGCACTTCCTTATAGTTCTATAAACTAAATCGATGCCGAACTAATAACTAACTTATGGAAGATTTATTAAGATACTTGTTTTAGAAATATACACCTTATTTGTTATAAATATTGATTGTAATCTCTACTAACACACAGTAGGCTACCTACTGTTCCATCGTATTGCACCAACAACCCATGTTGAAAATACCAGCTTTGAGCTGCAGAATAAATGAAGCTTTGAAAATAAAACTTTTTTACACGAGAATCACGACAACAAAAACCTTGGCGGTTTTTGTACAAAAATAAAAATCTACTCTTTACGCAACTCAACAAACAAACGAAGAGTTTTGAAACGTGACTAACTTGAAAGATAAATGCGCCGTAAAATTAATAGACTACTTTCAGTTGTTCAAGTGCAACACGCTACAAATTCTGTCCACAAAAACCAACTTTTTAAAAAGAAACTGTACAATTTAAATATACATTATATTTGCTACCTCATGTTATCATACAATAATAAAGTAATCAAAGGGTCTGAAACGTAGCAAACTTAATTTTTGTTCTAAAAAATTATTAATTGATGTGAGTATTCCCTGTTTGGTTCGAGGCTCTAGACTATCCGGTTTAATTTGCAATGGTAACTAGTTTAAACTTTTTGAAATTTGTTAGTAATGCTGCAAATTTTTTAATTTATTCTTGAATAGACTTCTTTTGTTATTTTAAGTTTCTAAAGCTGTACCTGCTTATTGCCGGTATTTCACTTTACAACATACCATTTAGTTGAGTAATAAAAGCTGTAATACCTTCGAAAGTTCCTCTGGTTGAATGTGTTACCGGTTATTTTGTGGAAACAACACATTTTATATCACATAGACGTTCAGAAATACTGCAACCTCCTTCTGCCACTCAACTAAAAGATATATTACAAATTGAAGTACGAGCGATATAAACCCAGCACGATTAAACTTTCTTGAAAAATTTCAGTAACGCTGCCACTTTTGTATAAAGCCCTTTCCTGTAATAAGTCTCTTACTGCCTCCCGTTCTTGAATCTGTTGTAAAGAACACTTATTGTTCGCTTTCCACTTCATCATTTATTTTTTATATGAGTGTCAGAAGGAGGCTGCACTATTTCTAAACGATCATTTGTATAAAATGCGCCGATTTTTTTAAAAGTAGTCATTTACGCATTAACCAACGACTTTTTAAAAATACTACAGCCTCCTTTTACTACTTAATTAAACGATATACTATGAAGTGAAGTATAAATGGTAAATAGAGAAAAAAATTCAGAAGTTTGAAACGGCAAAACATATAAATTAAGAAAAGACTATAAAAAGCTACAGCGTTACAAACAAATTTAAAACTTTACAAAACACGAATTGTCACTGACGCAAGTAAAAGCACTGGTTCAATTTCTTTTACCAAACAAAGAATGTTCACTTCAGTTAAAATTTCTCTTAAACAAATATTGAGTTTGTTACGGTGGTTAGTCTAGTCTATAGGAACCCCACTAACAGCCCGATTCGAACGCATAGAATCGCCTCTAATTAAACGATTAGGGAGGAAAGTACTGGCTGAAATCATTTGCCTGAGACTGCGGTGAGGTGTTGAAGAGACAGTAGCACGGCCATTTGATGTATTAGTGGCTTCCAAAACAGTTGTAAGATGAGCGCGAGACTGAAATCTAGAAAGTGTGTTTGTAATCCCTATTTGAACTTGTGATGCCGCTCGACGGAGGCCAGGCAAGAATTGGGTTTGAGGACGGACAAAGACTCGTGTAGGTCCCGTATTCCGTACTCTAAAAAGCAGCAGGTGACTATTATTATCCCAGAATAGAGTACAGTTGAAAAAAAAATTCACTATGGTTTGAATTAACATTTACAATGGAGAAAGTAAGACTTACGCATAATGCAGTGATTTTAGAACGTTTCGCTTATACTCTTTTGACTCAGTTCCATTCCTCGAAAACTCATAACCTTTGTCACAGAAGGGATCATCATTCATGTCCAAATCGTTAACAGCTACTAGTCTGCCACATAAATAAAATATCTAAAATGATTTATTTTAATCCGCTTTTGCTTAAATCCACAGTTAAAGACAGTAAAACGAAAAAGTAGAAAGAAAGAAACACTGTGAAGAAGAAAAAAGATTATGAAAAAGCAGCAAGA